TCCCCAAGTGCAGGACCCTGCACTTGCCCCTGTTGAACCTCATGAGGTTTCTCATTGCCCAGTCCTCCAGTCTGTCCAGGTCCCTCTGGATGGCAGCACAGCCCTCAGGGCTATCAGCTACTCCATCCAGTTTGGTATCATCAGCAAACTTGCTGAGGGAGCACTCCAGCCCTTCATCCAGGTCGTTAATGAATAAGTTGAACAGGACCAGACCGAGATTACTTGTGGTTGTCTCCTTTTTCTGAGCTTTTCAAACCATCTGTCCAAACTGCTTTTTTTTTTTCCCCCTCTATTTTTTTTCCTTTGTCCCCTACATTAGCCTTGTTTTGCTATAATAAGATACAGATAAGTCATCTATGCCTTGAGCTACCCACAGATAATTATTTTAACTACTGGTATGATTTTCTACTAGAATAGTCTTATACTACAGCTTATACTGATAATGCATTTCTATGGATAACGTGATTTTTTATATAAGCCTAAGGCCCATTTTATTTTACTATACACTATGGAAAAAACACAACTTCCTCTACAATAAAAAATAATTCAGGTACTTCATGGTTCTACAAACTAGATGAAACAAAAGAAAAAGAACCCATACCCACTTGAGTTCTTGGTAATTCAACATCAACAGGAGGTAACACATGCATTTCAGAGAGGGCACAACCAGGGTTGCAGTATGGGGAATCTAGCAGACCTTCTCACCATGTTAAGGTCATATAAGGTCTCATGTGAACTTTTGCACCTATATGAGAACAGTTAAGTGACAGTCATTGCTTGCTAAAGCAGCTGTATTCTATACGAGTCCCACTAACATTTCATGGATCAGAAACTGCCCTCTGTAACACTATAAGTATCAACATAGATATAAATATGCATAGTTATTTCATAATTATTCAAAACTCATGCAATGGTTTATTTGGCTGATCTGCTAAAATGTAAAAACAACTCCTCCTTTACTTAAGGATACTACTACAATTGATCACCACTGAATTATTACTTTTTTTAAACAAAGGCTTTCATTGTTGTCAGTTCACTGATACAAACATTATCAATCAGCCCAAGGTCACAAATTACTTTACCAAAACTCATAAGCTGTGACTAAGAAYGACAGATAGAAGCCTAGTACTGCACATAATAGCTATGCTTACCTAGAAACACTTTACCTGCATAGTCATACTATTCCTAGATGAGTCATCTGTTCCCTACCTGTATGATACAGAGTCTTGTCTGCTTAAAAGTTAGGGTTATTATTGAAGAAATCACTTTTCRAGAGGAGTTCACACTGCATATTATGTACAATTACTACAAATGCTTTGGTATCATTCTAATAGAACTCTAAGAGAATTTATGCCCTCCCAAAAACTTTTATTTTCCTTTGAGTTTGAAAGCAAAGATTTTCCAATGTTGCTTACAAAAAGTAATTCATATAATTATAATACTGAATATTTTAGTTGATTTTTTGCCTCAGTCTCAGGGCTGCTTGTGCATCCCACATATAACACCAGATTCACTCATGCTGGATTAATATATCATCACATTAGAAAAAAAGTATTCTGAAAGGTTAAGTGTCAGAATACTGATCTTTTTCCTATGGAGCTGTCTAAAGCAGTAACATTTCAAAGTGCAAGAAAATGCAATACAATGGCTGTTATTGAAGCAGATCAGCATCTTGGGATCAATTGAATGGATTTTACCATTTCATATCAAACACTAGAAGAAAAACAAATGTGGCCCTCTGGCTAAATATACTCAGGATATGGCTGSAAAGGACTTCTTAATCCACGAGTAATCACTTTTATTTGCAGTCCATTACCATGACATTTTTTAATTTGGGAACAAAAGATTTTCTTCTTATGTTTCTCCACTCCTGACTCTTCAGTTAAGTATTAAGTTAAACAAATTATTAAAGTAAACTTCTACGTTTTAAGTTAAATATTAAAGCACTAGCAGCAAATTCTGGATATAAACATTAAGCAGTTGTATTAAGTCACTTTACAACTAAAATCTAACAAGGATCCATTTGCCTCAAAGAACAACGGACAAAAATCATAGAACACAAACTTCTTTAAGACTTCAAAAGAGAAGCTTACTTTTTTTTTTTTAAAACAAAAATCAGTAAGTAGTTAGTCRCTCAAAACTGCACATTTTACTGCATTACAACTTTTCTCTTGGTACTTAGAATTCACAACAACTCTGCTATGATAACAGTAAAACTGGTATTTTGCCTCACACTTCAATTTATGAAATCGTTAGTTTCTATCAAAAAATGGGTAAAATTTTCTTCTGTTAGTGCTTAAATGGCAGTGTGTGTAGCTTATGCACAGGTAAAAATATTCTGCCAGTCTCAGTAGAAGGTGCTTAGATTAATAGTTACTTCACTTCAAACAATCAAGACTCCAATAAATCATTAGCATGGCCTCAACCATCTGGTGCCYTGTTGGTCTTTTCCTCACTGCATCCTGAAAAGATTTCCTTACCACCACAATCTGTAACACTATAACCCATATAAATCACAAAGAAAAAAGTTAAACATGTCTGGAAAAGGATGAAAAAATCTGAAGTGTAATTTCTTCAAATGTAAGGCTAAGAATGAATTATTGGAGAACCTCAAATCACAGTCTTTTCTGAAGCTGTCATGTTGCTAAAAGGGATGATGAGCTATTTCATCAATACTAAATTACCGCAACCTATAAGAAAATCAGGCCCTACACACTGAGAAGATTTATTACCTTGCTTCCCTGAAAATATCACACACATCTGGAAAGGTTTCTCAAAAGAGACAAATCCGTTATTATGCGACAGTCCATCTCCTGAGCAACACAAATACATCACATTTGCTTGGTATTTGCTACACTGATGCACTTCTTCAAGGGTCTTCAAGTCTAAGTACATCGTACTGTCAAAATAAAATTACAGAATAAAGAACCAACAATTCTTAGTCAGAAAAGCATTCTCTACTGTACAAGCAAAGCTTGGAATACCTATAGATAATAAAATGCTCAATTTGAAACTAGATTTTTAGGTAGCAAAAGGTAAATACATCACTGCACTTTATCACTATCTGTCTCATCCTCAGCTAAGAGCAGCTTTACTCATTAAAAGTCCACACTGAGAATAAAGAGTTAAATGCACCACAGTCAAATACACGTCTGAAAATATGAGTTATTTTCTTAGGATAATACATCTCCCAGCTAAATTCCTCATATGTAAGTTGTAATGAATAAAGCAAGACGTTCTTTAGATGTTACCCGACTTTGCCAGTAAAAGCGTAATTTCTGCTTATGTCAGCCCAGATTCCAAGCTCACTCATACCGTGTATTACTGATGACTAAGCTGTTTAAGAAAGCTTCTTATTCCTCTTCTGGTTGAAGATTTCATATTCTTCTAACAAATACTTTCTGTCGAGAATTTATTCACTGATGAAAGCTCTGTTCAAGGCTACTCACTGCTCTGCCAAGTAAGCCCAAAAGATCTTTAATATTTGTTAGCACAGTGTGAGCAAGTTCCTGGGAACCCTGGCTGTCCAGTTTATTCTACAGATRCTCTAAAGTACATTTTGGGGCTAAGGATATCTTTGGATGAAGACTGCTTTAAAAGCTGTTATTATGCTCTTAACCCAAATTAAGGAAAAAACGCTAATCATTGCTACACCTAAAATAAAATCTTAAGTGCTGCAGATAGCCTGAAAACTTTAGAGCAAAAAAAACTTCCAATCTCTTCAAAAAGTTATCAGCTGTTAATATGCAAAAATAAGAGATGCAACGTGTAATTTTATGGGATATATCAGCCTATAAAAGAAAGCTTTTCTCTACTATACACACATAAAATGAGAAAGGGAGAACAAAATATTCTAATATCTCAAGGACAGAGGTATTCAGAAAATCCCAATRAAAAAACACTCAAAAGAAAACTCTTACGCAAACTTCAGTTTTCTCCATTCACACTGTAACTGTATTGCCAACTACTGTATTTTTTTCAAAAAGCAAAGCTGTAATTCTTCTGAATCAGAG